AGTTGATGCAGAGGTGGTAATAGGAGCAGTAGTAGAAGCCACAGAAGCAGAGGAGGATGCAGCAGAAGAGGCCATTTGGAAACAAAGACAAGAACTTAAAGGACGAAGGAATAAGGTTCACCGGAGAAGAAGATTGAGACACAAACCAAAGAACAAAGTAGAGAAACTTGAGCGCGAAGGAAGAGAGCAGTGAAAGTGTTTTTTTTTTTACTCTAGGGTAAAAAAGAAGGGTTTAACGCGTCGTTGGGCCTAAGGTTAATAAAACCCTAGAAACCCTAAATGTTGGCGGCTGGATTAGGGTCCCTGGACCAGAGTGATCTGGTACCAACTTGAATATGAATAATTTCTTATTATTGAATCTGAATAGGTACAATAAAATAAATAGGCAGAAAACGTAATCAATCTCTAAAGTTTAGGGATTTAGATAAAACTAACTAAAGAGAAGATAAACTAGTATATCTAAACTATATCTTATAGAATTATCTTAACAGTTATAACAGAATGAAAAGTAATATTTTTCATATTACACATTACACTCTTAATATATTCTCATGGATTTTTACTAGACAGTGTGAATAGTACTTGTACAGTACGCACTGTCATTGCTTTTTTGCAGATCTTGTTCTGCTTGGTGCCAACTATATGGAAAAAGAAAATATAAAAGACTCTTCTTAACAAGGCATCTGGATGATTTATGTTCTGCAGTAATGCTAATGATACATTGCATCCTAATGTAAATTCTGTATGAATATATTGCAGACTGGGCAAGAAACTGATTTTGTCTTAGTTTCATGTTCTGGACTAGGAATTGAGCCTTCCAGGCGGGAACAGGTTCTTAAAGCCAAGAGGGTTGGTTTCATTTATTTGTTTTGTTTACTTAGTTGAAAGTTGCCACTTTTGTTCCCTTTTACTTTTGGGGTCCTGTCTAATCATGTCAATGTTGAATTCTCCAGGCAGGTGAAGATTCCTTAAGAAGATCTGGCCTTGGATACACAATAGTTCGTCCTGGTCCATTGCAGGTAAAGTTTCTATTGCTGCTTGTAGGTGGAGCATGTGACTGATTTAGTTGCAGGAATAACCACTTCTGTGACATTTGGATACTTGAGAGTAAAAAAAAAGAAAGTGTAATGAGAATGTGTCATTGCTAGAAACCTGTGGTGAACCCAAAAATGTCTTAGGTAGGCAAATAGGCGTATCAACATCATTGATGACAGACCCCCTCTGACTTACCTTGTATTCATAACTGCTATAATATTTATATATCCTTCAGTAGGTGCTTCAAGAAGCATCTCACACACTTTGTGGAATCTGGCCACTACACTCTGCATACAAGATAAACACAGAATTGGGCCTATCTGCAATAATAGACAGATAATACATACTACTAGCAGTTCCCAAGGCAGTACAAACCAACCAATTATTTGGCATGACCCAATAACATCGTAAATGGATGAGTCCTTGCTGGCATGCTGCTTCATGGGAGCATTGCTGTTTAATGCAGAGGAGATATATTCTTTATCTTGATAAGTATTCAAAGGCTTCCTATGCTATCCTGCAGAGGCCAGTTTCTCAATTATCACTGTATCTATGCCTCAAGCTATCAATAATATTGAGCTCAGGAATCAAGACGCCAGTTTGTGTTTTCCTCCCCTTCTCCACCCCCACCCCACCCCCTTCTCTTTTATATTCTCTTCTTTTCGGTTTATCAGGCTACATAATATCTTGTGTTGTTTTACTCTCCTTTGCTCCAGTTGGGTTGGCACTTGGCAGCGCAGTTGTGGTAGTCAGTCACAGATTGTGATTAATAATTGACAATTTTTTCCCACTCATATATCAACTGTTTGTGGAAATATAATTTGGTGTCTTCTCTTGTCAAATAACTAGCAGTTTTTCTGACAGGAAGAACCTGGAGGGCAGCGTGCTCTAATATTTGATCAAGGAAACAGAATATCTCAGGTTAGTCTAATCTATTCATACTAAAAAGGGGCTACCAACACACTTTCTAACAATCTCTTTCCAATATATTCTCTCTCTTATTGGTTAAAATTCATGTGAGTTTTCCTAGTTTGAAAATGGGATCCATCAAATAAGAAATGAGACCCATTTGAATTTCACCGAATGAGGAGAGAGCTAGGGGAATGTTAGAAAGTGTTGCTAGTGTGGTGTACTCATCTCCCACAGTTGCAATCAGATAAACACGAGGAATTTCAAGTTCCGTAAACCTTTTTGCATCATAGGAAACTGATCTGAATAATGCCAATTGTGAAACTTGATTTTTAGGGTATCAGCTGTGCTGATGTAGCTGATATATGTGTGAAGGCACTGCATGATACAACTGCAAGAAACAAAAGCTTTGATGTGAGTACACCCTGTTTGATAAACGATTGAATTTTGATCCAAATGAAACTAAACCTCATCAACCTTGTCCATAGGTATGTTACGAGTATATTGCCGAGGAAGGAAGGGAGCTTTATGAGCTGGTATGGGAACGACGATTAGTAGCATTCTAGTAAAATAATAAAATAGGATGAAAATCTTACGATCTAGTATGCATTTATGGAAACTGGTTATTTTTGTGTCTGCTTAGGTTGCACACTTGCCCGACAAAGCAAATAACTACTTGACACCAGCACTTTCTGTCTTAGAGAAGAATACCTGATCATCCCTTGTTGAGAGAAAATACTTCCCAGAAGTAAGATTTCATAAATTTGCTCCTACGTTCTTCTCCTTCTACATGACTGCCTCAAGTGATTCATGTAACTATGTTACCTGTATATATTCATGTGCAACCCAAATCTACAACTTGAGAAATTAAATATATTTATAAATTCCTCCATTGAAAATTTAAATTATACAAAAGTATAGATTTCAATAGTTAAAAGGCCTATTTTGATAAAACTACTCTAGAAACGCATATAGGAAACAGAAATAAGAAGAAAAAGAATGAGTTTCTCCATACATTAAAATTAGTTTATGGATAAGCTAATTTGTAGTGGTTCTGTCCATTTGATTTTTCCAAAATCTTATTTTTAATTCTTGAATAAGTTAATTTTAACTTATGGAGAAATTTGTTTCAATTTTTCTTTTTATTTTTCTCTCATGTAAAAAGTGCTTTTGCATAAGTTTATCTAAATAGGTCTAAAATGCATCATGCAATCAATGATTTGGATATGTATATCTTGCTTTGTATAATGAAGCAATTTTGCTTAAATACGATTTTGGTCGCGAATATCACTTTTAGATTCATTAAACTTGTTTTGGCTTGTGTCCTCAATTTAAAAGCGAGTACTTTTGGTCTTGACAAGATACCGATTTTTTATTTTTTATTTTTTTCAGGAATCTCTGTATTTATTCATGGGTAAGTACCACTTTATGAGAATCAATTTATCCATCTTCATGAGAATCATGTTTAAGACTAGGAAGGTTGCTTCATTTATGAGAATGTTCTGTGTCTGATTACAAAATTTGTAATCTTGTAACAAATATTGGAAGAATATATTCCTTATCCGTATATTTTCCAAAATATTGTAAAAACAATATACTCTCATAAAACTCAACCCCTTAGCGTCAGCTAACTGGAGGCTTCGTAGTTCGGGGGCACGTGGGTCATCATCACCTGAAACTTTATTCCAGATTGAGGTCCAAGCTTTGACAAATGGTAGGGATATTTGCAAATTAGAGGGAATATGCGTGAAAAAATTTTAGGGGGTAATATTTGGAGATTTTGTAACTTTGAGACTGAGAAATGCAGTTAAGCTCTTCTAAAATTTAATCAATAATTTATAACTATAACAAAGAGGTTGTCTTCAAAGAAAAAAAATATTATGTAGGACAACAGGGTGCAGAATGCGTTGTACTCGTCGGGTCAATGTGCCTAAAATGACATGGTGATTAGGGCTGTTTATTGGATGGGATTAATATGACTAATTTGATAATTTGAATTTAATTAATTAAATTGGTTCATATTATTTTATTTATTTAGGCTCAATCCAAATTAAGTTAATTAAACTTGATGTTGATTAATTTGGATATTAGATTTATATATTTAAATTTTAAATTAATTTCAATCAAATCAATTAACATATATTTTTTATTTTTAATTTAACTAACAATTTATATATATATATATATAATTTTGATTATTTTGAAGACATTTTTGTGTTATAATATGTAAGTTTTTTTTTTCTTTCCAGATACTTAAAAAAACTAAGAAAAATTATTATTATAATATATTGAGTGTTATTTTCATACATTATAGTGCATTTAAAATCTTTAAGTAGATTAAAAGAAATTAAGACGAATTATATTGCAAATATATCAATTTAGTTAAATTTTGACAACATATCAATTTAGTTAATGTTGAAAATTTTATTTACTTAGAAAAAAAATTTATTTTTTTTCTAAAAAACATTCATTGGATATTTGATAATTCAAATTGAACCAACTCAATCAACATTGGTTCGATTTGGATTAAGTAATTTTTTTTATGAAATTTGAATTAATCCAAACTAATTAAATTTAATTGGTTTAATTAGATTTTTATTCAAATTCAGAAAAAATTTACTCTCCAATCTTTGCAGAAAAAATTTGAACAAAATGGAATTAACATTTTTTAAAGATCAAATTTAGCTTATTTTACTTTTATAGGGATTAATTTAATATAAAAAATCTTGAGGACTAAAAGCAATTTTTTTGAAGAGAATTTTTCGTTTATCAAGTAGGACAATGTCACTAATAGAGTTAAAAAATATGATTGGTCTTTAACATATTATAATTTTAGAATGACTAATTTAATACAAACGAATTTTGGAGAGCCAAAATAAATTTTAAAAAAACTTAGATGCGCTGCAAGTAACTTTTTTATTTATTTTTATTTTTTATATAATTAGAAAAAGTATAATATGTGTTGTTGTTTATAAAATTAAATGAGTAACGTGCTAGAAATATATATATATAT